CAAACCTCCGTCGAGTCAGGACCTTTCTTTATATTTGGCAAATTATCGAGCAAATTATTAAGCTTATCTCTGGAGGTGAACTATATAGAGTCGATACTCTTCAGAAAATTCCTCTAAAATTCTCTAATTCTCTACTGGTTCGTTTAGAAGTGGGAAGATTATAATCTTCAACACTTATATAGTCACAAGTCCTCCGAGCAAGTCACAACTCGTGCACACTAACCTGCCGCTTTCTGAAGGAAGAGAAGTTGAGATTTCAACAAAGCGATGGTCTCTTCGGCTTCCACTGCGCGTTCCTCGAGCCTTTTAGCAACATCTCCACCTGTAACCATGATTATTCGTGTCTGAAGGACTGGTCTCAAAATGTCCGATTTCTTGAAAAGGTTCCTATATGTTGTGAAATCTCGCCACATCAACTTCTTTTCCAAGAAATTATCAGAGAGATTTACTTTTTTCGCAAGGGAAAATGTCAGTGGTTTCTTGAGATACTTCATGTAAAGTGCTGGTCGCGACGCACCTAGATCCCATTCTCCTCTCTACCTCGTCAAATAACGCCTTGTGAAAAACTGTTTGAAAGAGGATATTTGTGCATAGTGTTGGAAACATCTTATCGGTTATTTTTTACGAGTATGGCTGATCTTCTTAAATTTATGTCTTTAGTCGGAAAGCTGAAGTCCACCAAACGTACCGGCTGGGTTTACCGTGGCGTCAAATCGCCTGAAAGCGTTTCAGATCACATGTACCGCATGGCTATTATGAGTTTTCTGCCGACTGGACGTGAAGAGGGTACAAACATCAATCGCGATCATTGCATTAAACTCGCACTGGTCCACGACATGGCGGAATGCATTGTTGGTGATATCACGCCATTCGATGGAGTCAGCAAGGAGGAGAAACACAGAAGAGAAAAGCAAGCTATGGAGAATTTGTCGAGTTTGGTTGGTGAAGAAGTGGGGAAGGAATTCCTACAACTTTGGCAGGAATATGAAGCCCAAGAGACTGAGGAAGCCAAATTTGTGAAGGATTTGGATCGATTTGAAATGATTCTACAAGCACATGAATATGAAGACAGCGAAGGAAAGCCGGGCTGGCTTCAAGAGTTCTTTGACTTCACCACGGATAAATTCCAGCATCCAATTGTCAAAGATTGGGTACAAGAGCTTAATAAGTTACGGAGTCAGTCAAAAGAATAAATCAGCATAAATCAGGCTTGTGTTTTCAATGAGGAGGGATCATCAATGTTATTACTAATAATTTACTCGATGTCAAAGTTTTGTTATTTACTGTAAGGCACCATTGTGTGTGCCTAATATGCATATAGTGAAATAGAGATGAGATTTTCATTTGCATTGCATTTCTGGTTACAGAAATAGGGTATGCGATTAATCGTCAATGGAACTTGGTGATTTTATTAGTGTAGACAGTATTGTTGATGGTATAAAACTTTGTTGTTTTGTTTCTTCATCCTTGAGGAATTATTCCAAAGGAGAGTAGACTACGAGTAGTCCCCCTTTCGCTTTAATAGTCCGTCGTGCGTGACGCGAAAGAAAACTGCGAGCAAAAGATGGCCGCGCGAAATCCTGGGGGCGAGGAGCCATGTCGCGTGGCATGGACGTAGAAAAGCGTTACGTGACAATCCAAATAACCGACGCAAAGAGACTGGCACAGCTGTATAAAGAATCAGCAGCGGACGGCAGCCCACTTTTGGTTGGGGGTTAACAGGCTAGGGGCTAATCTTCTTGGGGGGTTAAATGACCTGCATCCCTTGCATCTGACAGAAAATAGCACTTCAGCTACAATCGTGGACAAAATAAATGAAAAATTAAGACCACCCCCCCCCCCCTTCCCAATTTCACTGATGGCAAAAATGGCGCGCTTTGGGTTTAGCGCCCGTTCATCATTGATTCGGGGGGATGGGTGGTTTTACTTATTTTATTCTGTGCAAGATTGTAGCCTTGAAAAAAATTACCATTTGTTTCAACTTTGCCGTCCACGCTAATTTTCCTTACTCGTAACCAGCCTTGTTTGTTCTTGGTTTATTACCAGTTCCCGTAGGCCAGGTCGCGCGGTCCGGGGGTTACCTTGCAATGGCCTAGGATCCCACCCACGGAGAAACAGAAATACTCGTAAGCACCAGTCGCCCCATGCTACAGAAGGTAAGCGCCGTTGGTATGGACCTCTTGGCCTGATGCTGGCTTAACGTTCTACCCTTTATAGCTAATTTTGTACAACAGAAAAATGACTCAAAATATTATGGCATAGCTCTTTAATACAGTCGTCAACCTAAAAAGCAAATTTCTTATCCTAAATAACTTAAACCACTGCTGTCTAACATCACAGCATTATATTTCTGTACTGTATTTCAACACATTGGAATACCTCATTTCTATATTTCTCTTGAGACCGAATAGTTATCTTTCTGTGTCCTAAAGATTCATAAATAATGCCTATTTTCGCCTGCTTTCGTTGAACATTTTATTAAGAGCCAATTTTCACGCAGCACCCCTCAATCGTATTTTTAAACAGTTGGATGAAAACAACGTTGTATGGCAGCTAAGTATATATGACAAAACATCGCACATACATGTGACTTGTCTACAGGTAGGTCCTTCAGGTGTATGTCCTTCTATACATCTGAGGACAGGATAACTGTTGACCTGAAGTTACATGTTAACTATTCTGAAGAGAAGTTTAAAAACAAAAAAAAAAGAGTCGTTCAATTGTATTTCCTTACTGTAAAGAACTGTGGGGAAAAAAAAAAGATTCTGTCCTCATCAAGCGTGACCGCACATGAGTTCGCAGAGAATTGTGACAGTAGTGATAGTATACGGTAGTCTCAAAATGTTTGCATTAGATATTTGAATGCACTGCTGCGGTAATCCTGGTTTTAGCACCCGATCAATCAATTCTTTAACTCTTTAATGCACTGAGCAGTGACCAGTTCAACTCGTCACCAATGCTTTCAAACCAGTAAGCCTCCCGCCAGTCTGGATACACACCAGTCGATTGGCAATGCACTCATATCCTGTCTTGCAATCCATGGAATGTATGCGCCTCGCTACTACAGGCATCCACCCAGTATTAAAGACACTCAGGGCTTTCACAAGAGCATTAGCATCCTGCTTTGGTAACCAGTAACTGCAGTGAAGACACCCAGCCACACACAGTTGCAATGATCCAAAGACCACCACGGTACTTTGGTTGTGTCACCATCCCATCAAAGGTCAATGACAGTGCTGTATGCAGTGGGTGACGATCTGGCAAAATTCACTGAAGATTACTAATAACGAAAACCAATATTACAAGCACTTCCATGTAGCAGCAAACGCAAAACCTAGTTGTAATGTTAGCGCCAAAATATACTGTGTGCTAAAGCAAAACATTCCCTGCATTTAATTTGAAAAATGTTCGAGAAGAATTCAGCTTCTTCTTAAAATTCATATGACATAAGTAACAATGATGAGTGTTTTTTTTTTTCTGGTAACTTCAGAGCATACAATAATTATTGCTGTATTTGGTTGTGTGCACAATTTAGGGCATTAAGCCCAACCTCGTTGCCAGGATCTCTTTCCCCCGGTAACAAGGTTGCATTACGCTTCAAAGGTGAATTAAAGACTGTCACACAAAGCCTGGCCAATACAAAGGAGCAGATGAAAGTTCTTTCTAAAACTGACGCCAAAAAATAATTGACATCCCCACGCGCATTGAACTAAACAACAGAATTATGCTCCCATCCACAAAAAAATATGCTTTCTTGTTCCCTTGCATAAGAATTTATGCAGAGACCCCCCTCATAAATGGCCCCCAATTTAAAATTCTTTTGTATGCATTTAAATTAGCCTCATAACCTTGTTTGATAGTAAAAAAAATATTTTGAATTGTCAACTTAAAAACGAGGTTAGTAAGGCTAATGTTGATACAGTCGAACCTCACAAAAGCGACCACCCAAAATGTCTAGCCCAGGTGGTCGCTTACGAGAATTTAGACCATATTGGGTCAAAATTCGCCTCATTAGCATATGGTAACTGCAGAGGCTTACCCCATGTTTTAACTGTTTCATTCATGTGAAAAGTCAATTTCGAGAAAAAATCCGGTATTTCCCATTGAGAAATTTCCGTCTCTTGCACTACTCAGGAGTGCGATAATGTTGCAACACCTTATTATCCAATTTTCCCTCTATTATCTATCAAGTGGTCACTTACGGGAGGTAAAAACAAAAGATATTTTATAACTTTTAGCTCTAAAAGTGGTCGCGGTCGCTTACGAGAGGTGGTCACTTACAAGAGGTTCCAAATATAGTGATTTACTTGGAAACTTTTGGTATTTTGGAAAACTGGTCCCGAGGAGAGGTGGCAGAAATTTATGCAAAGGGTCTACACCATAATTTTAGAATTGCTTATTAGAAGAAACTATGGATTCAAGTAGGCCAGACTGAGAAGGTTTCCGTGAGTGACCACAGAATTAAGGAATAAACTAGCTACACTGTACATATTACATCTGGTTAGTAAGCTTTACCAACAAACAGAAGCCTGTTGTGGAATGTACTTCAATACAGATAAATAATTTTAGGATGATGCAGATTACATTAAACTATATTATTTAAATATGTTCTAAGAGTAGTGCTCCATTTTCTCTTTTTCACTGTCCACGGATGACTGCAGATCAAGGATATAAGACTCTATGGATTGAGTTATCTTCTTTTGGGCATTATATTTTTCTTCAAGGCTCTAGAGAAAATAAAAAGAAGTATATATTTTTAGACCACCATTTAAGTACAAATACAATAAGTACAAACAGCAAAAGAAGTTAGAGAAAAAACAACAGCGCTTGCGCTTGCAGGTGTGGCAAATCTTTCATAAAACATGTACAAAATTCACGAGTGACCTCTACGTTAACTCCAATGGAACTTGTGAGATCTCTGGCACTAGACCACACAGACAATGTCGAGGTGGCGTGGCCTAGTGGTTAGGGCACTGGATTAGTGATCTGGTGGTCCCAGTTTCAAATTCTTCTCACTACTGCTAAATGGATTTGTGTTTGGTGGTCAGGAATTCAACACTTCAACACCTTGTTAATAGCCAACTGGCCAGCCGCGGTGTGCCAACCTCCATCCAGTTGGGATTTTTAACACGTTTTCAGTTCTACAGTACTTAGAATATTTGTTTCTTGATTTACATCAGGGTAATGTCGTGAATCAGCACAGCAGTGCTTAACACTGACACTTAAAGACAGTGATTTATTTTCCTTATTTATTTTTTATTTAATTTTATTTTAGTCAAATAGCATTATTAATCCATCTGGCAAGCTGTACACATGCCTTCTGGTCCATTATCCTCACAAAAGAATGTAACTTAGAGCATCACCCATGAAGTAATGCACTGTGCGTATTTCCTGCACATCACCTGTATCTTGCCAAGGTAAGTTCCTTTCAGTCCTTCAGTGAATTTCTTGAGTTCTCTCAGTTCCATATCCTGCAACATTTTAAGCGATCAAATCATATTTTTTACCACAAAGTAATCCATGTTAGTGTCCTTAAGTTCTTTCACTTCTTTTTGTCTACCCAGCACTTCAGATGACCGCTACAGCTGTGGTACTAAGCAGCCGTCATGCCTTGAAACAACGGCAATTTTTAGTGACTTCCGGACTTGTCCAGTCAAGACTCTCAGGCATGTGAAAAGTTAGGGCAAACATTTCAAGTACACGCTACACAATTAAAAATAGTGAACTGATTCAACTTTTCTACATGTAAGCTGAAGATTAAAATTTCCTTTGGCCTTAGAACTTAAGAATTGTATTTATTTATTTACTTAGTAGTAATAAGTGTTTCCATGATAGACTTTTACATGTGTTAACATGTACATAGGGAACCCAGTATTGAGTACAGCTGTAAGTCCATAAAAATGTGTGCAAGCAGGAGCGTTGAGTCCAATCCAAAATTCTACATCTACATTTGACATTTGCAATTTTCTATTTGCCAGAAGCTCTCTTGAATGTCTACAACTAAGCAGCATTTAGGCTCAAAACACGTCAGTAGGACCCCCAAGTTTTTCTAATGCCTGACAAAAAAATATAAATGTAAATTCAAACAAAAACTGCTATACCTTGCTAGAAACAAGTGTCTCCATGTCTGCAAGTTTGGACGTTATGGCCTCTAGTTCAGCTTTCTGCCTTTTCACTGTTTGCTTTGCAACTGGGAAAAAAGAATACACACAGACATACTCATTTTTTAATATTATGACTCTTACAGACTCATCCTTTTTGTGCCACGCCAGTTGAGATTTAACCAAAAGTTCCTACTGTCAACCTTATTCTCCTTCCAGATTGCAATACAGTGTTATTAATGAGAATTTCAGGGTTGATTTTTTTT